CATACTACACTCAAATGCGATGAGAATGTATGGGGTAAGGCTTTAAGCCTAGTCTATGGTGCGTACCGAACTCCTGTCGCAGTAGAGATATACACTTGTATATACCTACAAAGACACCCGATCTTCCAGCAATCGTGATAGACGAGAGGCTACTCTACGCAACACTCTCCCAACTACAAGCGCTGTAAGCTCAGCGACACGCGGCACAGTTGCGGTGCGCATCCACAACACGGACGCGCAGAATGACTTTGTGCGCTGCCATGGCAACGTATCAGCGAATAAGAATACACACAATTTCAAAGCGACCATACACACCCGCTGCCACGCGATGCACGCATCCCCGCGCACTTGCCCACACCTTCACATGAACATGAAAGACCTTCCCCATGTACCCACCCGCACATTCACATGAACATATAAGACCTTCCTCCTGTACCCACCCACACATTCACATGAACATAGAAAACCTTCCTCCTGTACCCACCCACACATTCACATAAACATGAAAGACCTTTCCCCTGTACACACCCACACATTCACATACACATAGAAGACCTTCCTCCTGTACTCACCCACACATTCACATGAACATGAATGACCTTTCCCCTGTACACACCCACACATTCACATGAACATAGGACCTTCCTTCTGTACTTACCGCCGGGTCTGCGATGAGCAGTCGCAACTGCTGCACACGTCCATGGGCACTGGCACGCAACAAGTCCTTGTGCACAGCCGTGGCATGTTCTTGTGCAATGGTCACAGATTCAATCACCCGCCTCGCCTCTCGCGGAGTGAGTTGGCCACTCAGTCTACCCCTTATGGGTGGGGTAACCCCATTACTGCGAGACTGTATCCAATAATGAGTTATCAGTGCATTCAGTGAGAGAGAGCAGCTTGGGTGAGAAAGGAATGAATACATGCCCATATATATTACGCATATATTTTAGATTTATGAATATATATATATATTTATATATGTATAAAATATATATATATATATA